ATCTGCAGTTTTTACATGCTTACATATACACACACAGTTACTGTCCCTCCATTTAGAAAGGAGAGGCGTCACGGTCTGATTATTTTAAGTGTAGTTGTCTTTTCCTATGTAATAATATTCAACATTGCTATCAAAAAAATTTCCAAAAAATGTGCAAAATTGGTTCAAAAACATAAACAGCTGTAGGATACTGTTTGCCCATGACGCAGGGAAACTAATGGGGAGACCTACTGTGGCACTTGTGCAGGTGAAGCCAAAGGCAGGATATGCGTCATAATATTTTCTAGTCTAAATGCCAGGCTGCTGTGTATTTTAATGTGTGTATGGGCTTTGGAAAGTTCACTGAGGTCATGCCTTGTCAAAATTAACCATTGCTGATCGCTGCTTTTACACAAAGGCTGTTTGGTTTGGCTCAAATGAACTTTAGGCTTGTGCGAAAGTTGTCAATCAACTTTTAGTGTGCACTAAACAAGTAGCCTGACAGTAGCTGGAAAGGTGAGCCTTGGTTCACCTCTAATTGGATCTCATGCGGTTTCTTTGTGGTCTGAAAGCTAATACATGTGAGGCTGAATGCACACTTGGAACTTGATGGTCTCTAAAGATGAAAGAGTTAAAAACTATGTATGGCAGTGATGTAATACACCGTGTAACACAGTTGCATCAAGTTTCAAGGTTTTACACAAGGTTAAAATTAAAAGACTGAGTACTGTGTTCCAAATATATAAGCAGTACGTGTAGTCTGCACCACTCTGAGTGATAGTGATATAGTGAAATATAGTTGAAGCATTACTGTATTAGTTCTCATTTCTGCATAGTTCTTATTTCCTTACATCCTTTTAAAGGCCTGCTTTGACAGTTAAAACTTCTTTTAAGTAAGAATTAAGTTTTGGGTTAAAGGTTTATATATTTGTGACAGTAAACTCAGAGGTAAGAGGCTTTAAAAAAACATTAATACAAATGAAGGTCTTCTCAACGATGTGTTGATAACAGTCTCTGATTGGTTGGTGAACTATCAGAGGTCACTGTAAAACACGCATTGCCCAATCCTTAATTTGTGATCAAATGAATAAAAACGACAGCACAAATGGGCCACCAATGCACTCGTTGAAATGTAGCACTGTCCTTTTTGTCCCCAGCTTGGTCTGCACACTTAATATTCTTGCAGCACCTTGCGAGGTTACCGCTGAGTTTTGTCCTATCATCACCTGTTTTAGACTTTCTAAAACTCTTACTTGCTGCTCCCTGCAACCTGACTTTGTCTCAACCTGCTGTCCAATAATTATGCAAATTTAGTCTGTTTCAGTGGCTGTGCATACTTTCCTGCTGTCGCCTTTCTTCTTAGCCTCTCTTGCAGCTGTTTTCTGTCCTCAGCTATCTGACTGTTCAATGTGGCGACGGTGCAACAGTATCCAGATGGACCTCTAATGCCAACACTGCATACAGAAGCTCACAGAAAAGGTCACATTGACACTAAGCCAAGAGCAAATAAAGAACCCTTTTTATCTCCTCCACTCCACTGACATTCACACAGTAATAGCTTCTGTAAGCTATTGTAATCGACCCCTCCAACTTTGTTATTAATTATTATTGTAAATGATTACTTTAGCACACATGCTTGTCACGATCCTGGGTCTTATGACCCAGTGGTTTCAGTTTCTTGTGTTTTGTCATTTTGTATTATGGTTTGAGTCCACCTTGTTAGTTTAAAGTTTAGTCCGGGGAGCAGCAGACAGTGAGGGATTACACAGATTGCAGCTGATTACAGGGGAGATTATCTGTGCTGTTACAAAGTGGAGATGGACTGGGATTACCTCCCAGTTTACGTCTATTTAAATAAAACCCTAAATAAAAAACAAAAGGATGTAGTTGTTATATGTAATTACAATTACTTTCAGGAAAAGACAGTGGGTTCTTTTTCCTTTCTTTTCTTGTTTTTCCTGTAATTAGCAGTTAATCCGTGGTGCTTTTTTCCATGTTAGGGAGAGGTCAGTGAACGTGTCAGAGCCGGAGTCTCTGGAGCTGACAGTTTCCAACCTGAAGCCGGAGGAGAGCTACAGCTTCAGAGTTGTCGCTTATAACGATGTTGGGCCAGGAGAGAGCTCCGCCCCCCTCAAGATCACCACAAAACCTGATCGTAAGACACAAACACTCCATCACACACAAACAGACACGCTCAGTCATCTGTATAAAACTTCTTTTTCTTTTTGCACATTATTTCATATTTTGGGTCAGACTACAGTTGAGCTCAGTGAGGCAGACTGTCAAGACCAACATCAAGCTATGGAGTTCTCTGTTAGCCAATAGCAGAAGGAGAAAATAGGTAGAAAGACCCAGACTTAATGTGATGCATGGATGGATCCATGGCTGTTGTTGGTTCCTTACACCTCTTTTCTCGTGATCTCACTCAGGTGGAAAACAAGGAATGTCTGGCCCAGATGTGGCCCACATTTGGCCTTGAATAATGTCCAAGTTATATAGGCCAGATGTTACTATAGCAGGCTCACTCAGCAGGTTGTCTAAGCTATTGTAAATCGAAATGTCACATCATTAAAAATGCATCTGATTTTCCGGTCAGTATATTATCTTTTTTTTTCTTAAGACATTAAACCTGTCTATGCTTAAATTTAGTGATACTGGAGTGAAATAGGCCTTTATTGTAAAATGATACCTAGCTATCCTCTTGACTCTCATGGAAATCAGATCATTCTGTCCCTGCAGTAAAGGTAACACATGTCTAAAAGTAGCAGCACTGGTAACAGAAGTGTTTGTGTGTGCCTTCAGTCCAAGTTCCCAGCAAGGTGGAGTCTCTCCGAGCGTTGGCTCTTTCTCCAACCTCCGTTCAGGTTAGCTGGGAGCCACCCAGCTTTCCGAACGGCCCCATCCTGGGCTACAGGCTGCTGTGGACCGAGAGCCCGTCGGGCAAGGAGCAGGTGAGCTCCATCACCAATGGATTATGATGCTTTAGATAGTCTGAGTCATTGTTTTGGAGTTCATTTGACCTTATTCGGTTGTTTGTTGAATGTAATCAATACTCTGTGTTTGTGTTCAGAGTGTGGAGGTGAATGGACAAAACTATAAGATGGAGGGACTCAACAAGTTCACAGAGTACACAGTTCGAGTTTTGGGCATCAATCGCTATGGACCAGGGACTGCCTCAGATGCCGTCAGTGTCACCACCCAATCAGATGGTGAGCTGTGTCTTAACATTTCCTCATTTATTCAGTGTGGAAAATCACATGTATCAGGAAATGAAACATGACATGACCATGTTATAACAGAAGGAAAGTCACAGGGGCTTTTTCTCTGTCACTGAAATTCCACCGGTCTTCAGTATCCCATTATCCACTCTTTCATCTTCTTTTCTCAGTTTTGATAGTAACCTTAACATCCACTCACTCACCAGTGAACAGCACTTGTGTTGTATGAATCTCATTTGGGTATGCAAAGAGGTAAAACTTCTTTATAAAGCAGTAGATATAGTTCTGTGCACATCTTGTCCACTATTTCCCACAGTGGTCTTCAGGAAAACTTCTCCAGAATTCTCCAGGCCTTTTGTTCCATTATCTGGAAAAAAAATATGCCAAACTATTTCATAATGATCTGGGCTCTGGGAAGGCCAATATATGATGGATCAGATACTTTTACCCTGGTTTTGCATGGGGGTTCAAAATCTGATGGTACTTTTCTGCATTCATAATTTAATACATTTTGATAAGATCTGCAAAACCACTGGATGGAAGGCATCCCCAAACCGTGACAGAGCCTCCACTGTGTTTTACAGGTTGTTAGAATGGCTTCTTGACAGCCACCCATTCAGTGAAACTTTTTCAGATTTCAGATAAATCTCAGATTTTTTTTTCCTATTTCTTAACGACATCACTTTCAGATCCTGTTCATCTGGTGTAGATAAGCAACCTTTTCCTTTGCTCTTTACTCTTCTCATTGCCTCAGATTTTGTAAGGATGCAGTGCACAGCATGCTGAAATATGCCAACTTTTACCAACAACTTTTGAACTGTTGTGCAAGAACACTTTGAGAAAATACAAGAAAGTCTGGCATCTTGAATACAAACTATAATGAAACGAGAGGTGACCAAAGATTCTAACTTAACCCTCACCGTTAATACATCTCTGGAAAATTGGTGGACAAAATTGGAGGGTTAAAATAGCAGCTCACTGTCTTCTTTGGGTTGTGCTGTATATATATACTATTTGGCTAGACTGATTAAACACAGTACAGTAATAAATACAGAACTTCTTGAAAGAATTGTCAGCGTCATACAGTAACAAAAAGAAAAGCTAATTTATTATATTTACAGGATCTATTGCTTCTATTCCTTCCAGCCACGTCCACTGTTAATTTCTAACAGCAGCACAACAATGACACACTGGAGCACAGGCCTTTTTTTTTAAGTTGCCCACAATAGGCTGTTAAAAATCCACTCTCTCTGAAATACCAAGGACATGATCTCAATGGAAGCTGTCACTGTGGTTATTGAAGAAAGTATTGATTTTGGTGGATGTTCAAGAGTGAACTTAACCCATCCAGTTTAAAAGAATCTGAAGAGGATTTTTATTTTATTTTTTGCAAGCTGGGACTTGTTATAAAACGAGTGTTTTCATTTTGTTGATGTCTTATCTCAGTCTGAGGCAGTCCACGCTGAAAATTCTTCCGCTCAGGCCATACATCGCCCGTGCAACATGCATTTTATTCAGCTGGGTCCTCAAAAGTCTGAAATACAAATTTGCACAAAGTACATTTTTATGATCAATAAATTGTCTTAAATTTTGTTTCGATGGGTTATGAATATATTTAGTCACATAACCATAACCACCACATTTAGCTCACACAAAGTGACTACATCTTTAATGTCATGCTGTTTTTGAAACAATCTAGACTCTGATCCCGATTCTGACGACTATATCAGCGAAAGATAACCAGACCTCATTTTAAGACACAGTAGTTTCACTTTTCAGACCCTGAAGCAACATCCAAATTATAAAGTACAGCTTGTTAGTACTGGGTTGGACCGCCTTTTTCCTTCATTCTTCATGGCACAGATTCAACAGAGTGCTAGAAATATTCCTCAGACATGAACATGACGAACAGTTGCAGCAGATTTGAATCTCTTTATTCACTACATCTCAGAGGTGCTCTATTAGATTGGGATCTGGTGATTGCAGATGCCATTTGAGTACAGTGTCGTGTTCAAGAAACCAATTTGAGATGATTTGAATACATGATTAATATGTTATTAATATCCTTAACCACAAGGAGTCCAGAATATTAAAGAGTGACTTGTGCAGTCTGACTGGTTTGAACTGGTCCTAGTTTCAAGCAGCACTTCAACTTAGATCTGAAAACTGCTGGGCGAGGTGGTGTCTATTACCTGGCACTGTGTATATGTGTGTGAGAGAAAGACACAGAGAGAAGAGCCAATAGCAACACAGTCTTTAGCCCTTCTCATAGACAGCCCCCCCTTCTTGCTGTCAGGAGTTTCATTAGGAGACTCGGGGGTCTTTAATTAAGTAGGCAGAAGAAGGAGCAGCTTCATTTAAACCTCCTTTTAGCTTGACACATTAAATGGAGTCCACACACACACACACACACACTTTCTCTTTCACATGGTTCAGTATTAAAGTTCATCATGTGTGGCGCAGAAAAGAGGAAGAAACGAGGAAGTTCATAAGTCATGAAAATACTCAGAGAAAACGTAGGAAAAGAAATAGATTCAAGAAACTTATACTTGCATGCACTAGTTTTAGTGACCAGCTAATCACCTTTACTCGCTGATTGTTTGACAAAATCCTCATATCTCAAATCTTATTTTAATGTTACCACATAAAAATCCAAGAGCCTTAGCCTTGACGTATTCTTTACAATCACTGATTTGATTAATTTGACCTTTCACTGCCCACTACAGACACAGGGAGTGAAATGTCAGTAGGTGACACTGGGAGCCTAATATGTTATCACAGTTACTATTAAAGAGTTTGTGGCCTACAAATAGTGGACACTTGGCTAGATAAATACATCAGACTAGACGTTCTCAGGGTGAAAAGGGATTGTTCAGTGTGGATTGTTCACTTGGTAGACATAAGAAAAATTGGACTATTACAAAGTACTCAGCATAGGTTTAGGCATGTCCACATCTAGTTGCCCTCAGAAAGACTAGTCACTTAAACTAATATTTTTTTTTATTGTACATCAGTTGATGTCAACTTTGGGTTTAAGCAACCTCAAGCATTTAGAGATGTAGACAAAATCAAGACCAGCTGCTGGAATTCAAGCTGAGGATGAGGATGGGGAAAAAGGCGATTGAAGTGACTTTGAGTCTGACATTGTTGTTGGTGCCACACATGCTGGATTGAGGATTTCAGTAACTGCTGATCTGTTGGGATTTTCCTACACAGCCATCACTACGGTTTAGAGAGAATGGTCCGAATAATGAGAACATTTCCAGTTAGTGGTGACTGTCTGAGTGAAAACGCCTTGTTGGTATGAGAGGCCAAAGGAGAATAGCCAGACTGCTTCGAGCAGAAGTGAAGTTAATAGTAACAGAGATAACCGCTCATTACAACTAAGGTATACACAAGAGCATTTCTAAACGCACAACACATCAAACCTCAAAGCAGAACTACACAAGATTAGACTGGGTGCCATTTCTGTATAAGAACAGGAAAATGATGCTATAGTTCACACCGATTCACCAAAAATGATAAATAGTAGAGTCCAAAAAGGTTGCCTGGTCTGATGTGACACTCTGACCCTAGCATGGGATCAGAATTTGGCACCAATAACATGGAAGCCTAAATCTATCCTGCCATGTATTAGCACTTTAGGCTGCTGGTGAATGTGTAATGGTGTTTGGGAATATGTTCATCATGTTAATCCCTTTATGACCACAGTGTACTCATCAGCTTGATAACATGCCATGTAGCAAAGGTCGCATAATGTCAAACTAGTTTCTATTTGGTTTTACTTACGGGAATTCACAGTCACCAGTCCAATAGAGCACCTTTGAGGTGTGGTGCGACCAAAGTTTCACTTCATGGATATGCAGCCGGAAAATCTGCAGAAACAATGTGATGCTTTCATGTGTGTACCATGAAAAATTAATGCAGGTCCAAAGCCATCAGGGGGTCTAATCTGGCACTAGCAAGGTTTCTCAGTGAAGTATCTGTCAAGTATATACGCACCTTTTGGCCTGAAGAAAGGGAATACATTATTAGCTTGAGGTCCAGTAATTAGCCCTCGTGGGTATGATTGTTTAAATTGTAATGGACTCACTGGCATGTAAGCACTCGACTTATGCTTATCCAACCAAAGTTGGATATTGCATAAGCTGTGTGGACATTTCCCTCCAAGAAAAAATGCTGCTGGTGCTAGCACTGCTAATATTAGCCACACTCTGCAAACAAATCTGACATCTGATGATTGTCACACATTTTAACTGCATTTAAATGATAATTTCATTACTGAAAATCCATTTCAAATGGTTCTAAAATATAGTTCTGAAGGGGTCTTGAATGAGGTTTCAGAAGTCCTAGTTTCACTCTGGCTCCCTATACTCTCCTGCTATTATTCCTAGCTTTTGCATGGTAGGACAGTGTGCTTTACATTTTCTACACAGACTGAGTCCTTTAATATCAATGCAACATTCAGCTTCTGATGGGTGTGCTGAGAGGGACGCTGTGATTAATAAACTTCCACAGAGGCAGAGAGAACGGAGGCGTGTGTCCAGCTGCAGTCACACCATAAAAATGATCTGAAATAACACAAACACACACTTGCAGATGCAGAGCGGCTGTATTGTGAATCTTCCGGCTGCGTCTCGATGATAACGGTGACTTGTGGGCTAATTGAATTTACAATAAAACTGATTCATAGACACACGTTGGAAGACACACACACACACAGACATAAATAGCGAGCAGCTGAATCAACAGATAAGCCGTTGACAGTTAATCAGGCATCTGATTGGACAGTTCACTCAAACCAATGTTGCACTTTTGCTGGACACAAAAACGCATCTGCTGCTTTTTCTAGAAGTCTGTCAACTCTCTCTTCTATTATTCATTCATCTCTTCTTCTTCTTCACCACCATCCTCTCTTTTGTGTTCCATTTATTCTGGTGTTTTTCAGTGCTTTTGGTCTCTCTGTGAGTCAGTTAGCAAGATTACACAAGAACTTTGGAGCCAAATTTCATGAAACTTCGGGAGGTGGAGCTCCTCCAGTTTGTGTTTGTCTTCCTATTTCATCCATTCATTTTTTCTTGTCTTTGTTTGATCTCTTTTTAGCTTTCTCTTCTTTGTTTGATTATTTTTCTTTCCTTTGCATCTTCCTCTTCATCTTTTTTTGTGCTTTCATGTACTAAAACCAAGTTTTTTCCTCTCTAAACTTAAAAGCTCTTATGTTTCATTCTTTTTCATCTTCTGATCTTCATGCTTACTCTTTCATTTTCTTCCCAATATCTTCTTTTTTGTATTTTTTCTTCATCTTTCATCATCATCCCATTTTTCCCATGTGACCATCATGTTCACATTGCCCCCCCCCTCCCTTTGTTTGTATTTATATGTTTTACTTTTGCCTTTGTTATTTTTTGTAGCTTTTTCTTCTTCACCTTCTTTGCTTCTTCTGGTTTCGTTTTTTTAGGAAATAAACCAAATTTTTAACAAATAAAGGTTTAGAAGGCCTTAAGCAGTCATGTTAAAAACGTTCGATCTCAGTATGTGAACTATCTTACTATAGCCACAAAACCATGAGAAGATTATCTTTTTCTTCCAATCTCTGTAGTATTCTTCTCTGTCCTTCGTCACTACATTCATGAATCCTCTCTCTGTTCTTCCTGTTTTCCTCGTGCGTGTCACTTCCACCAAAACAGAAAATAGAAATAAATCAAATCTAACTTTCTAAAGCTCTGTTTGTTATGTGTAATTTTCAGACCTTTTACATTATCGCAGCCATAACAATGTAAAAGTAGCATTAAAAATTAAACTTTTTTTTACGTTAAATATTAATAGCGTTCCTATTCATGCATGTACATGTGTAGTTGTCATTTTGCAGGAGCATAGATTTGTTTGCATATTCAGGACTGAACCAGCATGTTACATTTTAAAGTTTAAAGTCATGTTTGAATGTACAACCAGAAAGACACTTTTTCTCCATAGCAGCTTCCTTTTTCATTAATAAATAATATCATTAGAGCTATTGTTGTATTTTCGTATTGATTTATATGTTGCATTGTTTGTTTTCCTGACATTTTCCTTTCCTTTACATTTGTCTCTGCAGTACCCAGCGCTCCTCCACAAAACATCACCTTAGAGGTCGTCCTGTCCAGGGTGAGTTTAAATACCCATATTTTTATTCCCTCTTCTCTCTGCTCACATCCGTACACTGCAACAACATCCACATCATAATCTGCTCCATTCGTGGTGGTATTACCAGTAAAATCCAACGTTATCCCCTTGAACAGAAAGACTCTTTCACCTTTTACGATCTGAGCTTACAGACTTTAACATCACTGCCTGACTTTCCAGGTTCTGTCTCCCTTGAAGTGACTGATGGCTGCTTATTCTGACCCACATCTAAACAGTGACACAGCTCAGGAAAAAAAAGCAAATAAAGCAGTGGTCTGGTTACTACCGTTTATGTCAGAA